CGGGGCGGGACCGGCACCGGCGCCGCCTCGTCCCGCCGGGTCCTAAACACCGGCCCTGCCCGCCCTGCGCAGCGCCGGGCACCGCTCCAGCCCCGCTCCCCAAACCCGGTCCCAGCCCCGGGCTGCGCAGCGCCGAGCACCGCTCCAGCCCCCATCCCACTCCCCAGCCCCATCCTCACCCTCATCCCTGCTCCCCATCCCACTGCCCAGCCCCATCCCTGCTCCCCATCCCTCTCCCCATCCCTGTTTCCCATCCCTCTCCCCATCCCGCTTCCCATCCTCATCCTCATCCCTGCTCCCCATCCCTCTCCCCATCCTCATCCTTGCTCCCCATCCCCATTCCTCTCCCCATCCCACTCCCCATCCTCATCCCTGCTCCCCATCCCCCCCTGCTCCCCATCCCACTCCCCATCCCCATCCCTGCTCCCCATCCCACTCCCCATTACCATCCCCACTCAGCACCGGGCACAAAGGAATCATGTGGAGACCCCCCGAGCAGGGAGGGGACTCTCACACCGGCTGGTGTCCATCCTTCCTTGTCCCACCCTGATCGGGGTGACTGGGGGACACTGGGCGGGGGGGGGGAACTGGGGACACAAGAGGGACTGGAGGGCAGACGTGGCCGGGGGCACGGAGCGAGCAGGAGGGAGGCAGAGCAGCCGGCCGCAGGGCAGTGGGGACGGCTGGAGGGCGATGGGGACGGAAAAGGGGCTGGATCCTGGCACGGATAAACCCCCCCCCCCCCCCCCCATGCTCAGCGCCGGCCTTAGCAAACAGAGAGGGACATACGCAGGGCAAGCGTGTGGCACCCTCCCTGCACCCCAAAAACGAGCCACCCCCACAGCCCCCCACTCCTGTTCACCCTGAGTGGGGTGGGGGGGTAGCCGGGCAGCCCCTGAGGGGAGCCCCCAAGCTCCCGAGTGGGCAGCCTGCTCGCTGCTCCCCGTGCCCTTTCCCCGCAGGAAGAGCAGCTGAGCCAAGCCAGGATGAAACCGTATTTATTCAAAACCACATATCAAAACAGTTTAAAAAGCAGCTTAAAACCCAAGGACTGACAACGCAGGGCCCGGCTGCTAGCCCTGAGGGGGACTGCGACCCCCCCCTGCATGAGCAGAGCCCCCATTTTGGGCTGGGGAGATGCCCAGGGTGGGGAGTGGGTTCCCCTCTACGTGCCAAGCCGTTACCGGAGCTGGCTGGATGGGCGAGTGGGGATTAGGGGTCTCCTCCCCTCTGTGGTGGGCCTGGATTTGGGGCTGGGGGGGGCACAGGGGGCTGCCAGGGCCATAGCAGGACCCCCACCCCAGGAGAAGGCACTCTGGGCTCACATGAAGGCACTGTGGTGTGTACGCAGGGAGGTGGGTCTCCAATTTTGGGGGTGCTGCATTGAGGGAGGGGCCCTTTCTCTGTTCCCCCAGCAGGACAGGGGGTTCGTGTCCACCCCCAGGGCAGGGGGGGGCTAACGGGAGCAGCATCCCCAGGGTGAACCGGGGCAGTGGTGGGGGGCAGAGGAAGGGGCATGGGGGCTCAGCAGGGAGGACACATGCTTGGGGGGATGGAGCCAAGCCAACGGGGTGCACTGGGGATGCTGCAGCGGAGTGGGCTGTCCCCCCAGGATGGTGGCAGGAGGTGGGGGAGGCCTCACTCCTCCCGGTTACGGGGCCCCCCCCACTTCTGCCGCCGTCGCAGCTCTTCCACCTTCCACTCTAGGCTGCGCACGGCGGCATCCAGCTGGGGGCTGGGGCTGGGGGGTCCTACTAGACACCCCAAAAGGGTGTAGAGCACCCACAGCCCCAGCAACATCCCTGCCTGCACCGTGGGGCTCTCCTGGGACACCGCGACGTGGAGGAAGGCACCCAGGAAGCAGCAGAGCTTCACCCAGTGGAACGCCCGCAGCAGCAGCCCCCACAACCGCGACAGCAACCAGGAACCCACCAGGGCGGCCAGACCCCACAGCAACACCCGTTGCACCTCGCCGGGGCCCAGCATCACCGAACGTCCCAGCCGGTCCCCTGGGAGGGAGGCGGGTGTCATACCGACGGCACGGCGACAGCAGCGGCGGCGGGGCTGGGTGCCAAAGCCATCCCGCAACCGGGTTCCTCT